AAGATTATTTTTTATTCTTCCATACCTAAGCCCTACCAATTGATGTCAAGGTCAAGTTCTCCAAAGACTCCTCTCTCCAGTGAACTGAACCAATTACCATCCACTGATGAGTCTCTAGCTTTATGCAGCACCAACAAGGTGTCACCTGGGGACAAGTGCCTTTTCTTGTTTCTTTTGCCCCAGAACTAGTTCCTCTCTTCATTTACTACATATATTGTAAATAATTATCCTCCAATTAGGTAAAGAAAGAACTTTGTCTTACCCATCATGATTCCCAAGATCTACTTCAGAGCTAAGACATGATAGAGTCATTGGAACTGCTGAATGGCATTAAATGAGCAGACATACTTTGCTACAGATGTAGGTGATTTTTTTTTTTTTTTTGGACAGGCAGTTAGACAGTGAGAGAGAGAGAGACAGAGAGAAAGGTCTTCCTTTTTCCGTTGGTTCACCCCCCCAAATGGCCGCTGCGCCGATCCGAAGCCAGGAACCAGGTGCTTCCTCCTGGTCTCCCATGCGGGTGCAGGGCCCAAGCACTTGGGCCATCCTCCACTGCCTTCCCCGGCTGCATCAGAGAGCTGGCCTGGAAGAGGAGCAACCAGGACAGAACCGGCACCCCAATCAGGACTAGAACCCGGGGTGCCAGTGCCACAGGTGGAGGATTAGCCTCGTGAGCCCCGGTGCTGGCCAGATGTAGGTGATTTTTAAAAATAAAAACTTAAGAATAGTTGAGGCCAGCACTGTGGCATGGCGAGTAAAGCCCCCACCTGCAGTGCTGCATCCTACATGGGCACTGGTTCGGGTCTCAGCTGCTCCAGCACTCTGCTATGGCCTGGGAAAGTAATGGAGGATGGCCCAAGTTCGTGGGTCCCTGCACCCTCGTGGGAGACCTGGAGGAAGCTCCTGCCTCCTGGCCTCTGATTGCGCAGCTCCGGCCGTTGAGGTCAATTGGGGAGTGGACAAGTGGATGGAAGACTCTCTCTCTCTCTGCCTCTTTGTAGCTCTTTGAAATAAAATAAATAATAAATCTTTAAAAAATTTAAGAATAGCTTTACATTTACAGTTAAAAGGAAAAATTTTAAGCCAGTTTAAATTCATCAGTTTGAGGTAAACCACACACACAATTTAGGCAACTCTCAAGAACCAGAACGCATTCTAACTCGGAGCTGCAAGGTGGTCCAGCAGTTTTGGGAATAGAGAATCGAAGTGTGGTGACCTTTGCTGAGATGCCACCTGGGGCACCCACATCCCGTACTGGAGGGTCTGGGTTCCAGTCCCAGCGCCATTTCCAATCCAGCACCCCGTAATGTGCACCCTGCCGAGCAGCAGATGAGGGCTCAAGCACTTGGAGACCCACGAGTTCCCGGCTCCTGGCTTCAGCCTCGTCCACACTGAGCTACTGCAGGCATTGGGAGAATGACCCAGGTCGCAAAAGATCTCTTTGTCTCTTTGCCTTTCAATCAATCTTTAAAAAAAAAAAAAAAATAACAATTTAATGGGTGCCGACTTAGAGTCAGCCGGACGCCTGGGATCTACAGGAGGCCCGGGGCTCCACGCTGCCTGGGGCCGCTGGATCCAGTCCAGAAGCCAGGTGCAAATCAGTGCCTCCTGCAAACTGTACTGATAACGAAAAACGCGAAACACGGCACAAGGGCGTTCCCTTGTGCCCCTCACCCGCTCTCCCGGTTGTCTAGCCGTTTACCCTCCACCCCAACCCAGGCCTCGCAGACACCCCTGGGGCCACGCTACTCTTCCTGGTGCAATCCTCTCCGACAACTGGAATAACCGGCTCCCGCCGGCCCCAGCCCCCCGGGCGGCGAGCAGATGCGCCGCCTCGGGCGGTCAGAGCGGTGCGGGACCCACGGCGGGCCTGAGCCACCGGCTGCCGTCCGCCCCCGTCAGCCCCGGAAGGGCCGCGGCCCCGGGCGGCGCCTCAGTCGGGGAGGCCCGCGGCCCCACCCGGGAGCTGGGCGGCGCGGGTGTTGCCCCTGCGCGCCTGCGCGCGGGGCTAAGGGGGAGTGGCGCGCCGGCGGCGGCGGCGACGGCGGCGGCCAGGAGGGCGGCGGTTACTGCGCCGGATACTGGGGTCGCTGCCTGAAGCGCAGGCGCCGTGGACGCAGCTCGCCCCGGGCCTCGGGTGCCTGTGGACTCGTCATGGCGACCGAGCAGAGGCCTTTCCACCTGGTGGTGTTCGGCGCCTCTGGCTTCACCGGCCAGTTCGTGACCGAGGAGGTGGCCCGGGAGCAGGTGTCCCCGGAGCGGAGCTCCCGCCTGCCCTGGGCCGTGGCGGGCCGTTCCCGGGAGAAGCTGCAGCGGGTGCTGGAGAGGGCCGCCCTGAAGCTGGGTAAAGGGGGCGGGCCGGCCCGCTGCGGACTTTAGCATCTCCCCGAGCGAGTTTCTCCTCGGGGATGCGCCCCACCGCTGTCCTCCGTCCTCTCCGTCCTGCGTGAGGGCACGAAGCGGAGAGGGATGTTTCCTACGTTGTCGTGGCTTTGCCATGGCAGTGTTCCACTCCTGAAATAAAAAAAAAATTCTTTGCCTCCCCTCCTCATTTTTCAGTGAGTCCCCTAGTTTGGGGGAAGGGGCCTTATGGAGAAATTGGTCAGGAGCTTCAGTTGTCCCTTTCTTGTCTTGGTCTTGATCTGGGGCAAGGGTAACTGCTGGGTCTCGAGGTTTCTGGATATGTGGTCGGCTAGGGAGGTAGGACATTGATTCCTTTTAGTTTGTGAGACACTTTGACCTATTGAAGCTTGCACTGAGTTGGCTTGTTCCAGTTCTTTCCTTATTATGAGCCTAGGTGTTGTTGTGTTTGTTTTTGTTTTTTTTGTGGTGGTTGTTTTTGTCAAGGTGTTGATGCAGTCTTCTTCCACTCCCTATAATTGTTGATTTGTTGATGAGAAACTTTTTATTTTAACATTATTTATTTGAAAGAATTAGAGAGAGAGAGATCTTCCATCTACTTGTTCACTCCCCGATGGCTGCAACAGCCAGGTCTGGGCCAGGCCAAAGCCAGAAACTTCTTTCAGGTCTCCCATGTGAGTGGGTGCAGGGTCCCAAGCACTTGGCCATCTTCCACTGCTTTCCCAGGCACATTAGCAGGGAGCTGGATTAGAAGTGCAGCAGCCAGGACAGGAGCTGCTGCCCATAAAGCATGCCAGCATTGCAGGCGGCAGCTTTACCTGCTACATCACAGTGCTGGCCCAAAGAAATTTTTTTCCCAGAAACTTTCTATGATATAAGTTTATTTATAAAGAGGAATTCAGGACCATCATCTACTCAGTAACTAGACTTGTTTGTAAAATTGTCCTGTTACACAGAGCTGTCATTCACACATTGCTTGTATTAGATGCATTTGTAAAGGTTTCTAATGTTGATAACCCTGAATGTTAACTCCATTTTCCTTATAGTTATTGATTTTAAACAGTTCTATCTTTGAGAAAGATAGATTTTAGTATATCAGTATATTTAATAAATTTGCTCTCATAGATTACTGTAAAAAGATCTGGAAGATGTAATTCTTTGCTAGGATTTGCTTTAAATGATTTATTTTGTTTTTATTTTAGGCAGACCGACACTGTCATCTGAAGTTGGAATAATAATTTGTGATACAACTAATCCAGCCTCTCTCGATGAAATGGCTAAACAGGCAACAGTTGTCCTCAATTGCGTAGGACCAGTAAGTAATCAACCATTCTTTATATCAGAACAAATCATCCATTCATCTCTAGCTAAATCTGGTATTGTATGTTCCAGAGGAACATAAGGGCAGAGGACAGAAGAGCTGGTTCAAGGCCATAACCTGTTTGGGGAGTTTTTTGTTGTTGTGAGGAGCAAATAGATAAGAACAGAGTCTCCCGAGGGAGGGCATGGCACCCTTCTTATTGTGTGTTGGCTTGTTCATTGGTTACACTTAGCATTGACACATTTTTCCCCCTTTTCTACTGTATGCCCCTTCAGTAAAACATGTTTGAGTTTATAATTATTTATAATTACATTCTTATATGTAAATGTAGGTTTTAAAAACATGTACAAGAATAGAGATTAAGGGGATTGAGTAAATGTTTTGTAAAGCTTACTGTATATAAAATGCACTATTCTAGGCACCTGGGACATAATGATCAACAAAACAGAAAATACTGGCCGGCGCCGCGGCTCACTAGGCTAATCCTCCGCCTAGCAGCGCCGGCACACCGGGTTCTAGTCCCGGTCGGGGCGCCGGATTCTGTCCCGGTTGCCCCTCTTCCAGGCCAGCTCTCTGCTGTGGCCAGGGAGTGCAGTGGAGGATGGCCCAGGTGCTTGGGCCCTGCACCCCATGGGAGACCAGGAAAAGCACCTGGCTCCTGGCTCCTGCCATCGGATCAGCGCGGTGCGCCGGCCGCAGCACACCGGCCGCGGTGGCCATTGGAGGGTGAACCAACGGCAAAGGAAGACCTTTCTCTCTGTCTCTCTCTCACTGTCCACTCTGCCTGTCAAAAAAAAAAAAAAAAAAACAGAAAATACTTTTGGAGTTTCTATTCTTGGGGAGCAGACAGAAAGTAAAATTATAGTAATAAGTAATGATAAGTGCTTTGAAAAACAATGAAGCAGAATAGGGCAAAAAAGAGATTGGCACATCGGTTTCTTTCCTTTTTTTTTTTTTTTTTTTTTTTTTTTTTTTGACAGGCAGAGTGGACAGTGAGAGAGAGAGAGAGACAGAGAGAAAGGTCTTCCTTTGCCGTTGGTTCACCCTCCAGTGGCGCCGCGGCTGGTGCACCGCGCTGATCCGAAGCCAGGTGCTTCTCCTGGTCTCCCATGGGGTGCAGGGCCCAAGCACTTGGGCCATCCTCCACTGCACTCCCTGGCCACAGCAGAGAGCTGGCCTGGAAGAGGAGCAACCAGGACAGAATCCAGCACCCCAACCGGGACTAGAACCCGGTGTGCCGGCGCCACAGGCGGAGGATTAGCCTGTTGAGCCACAGTGCCAGACGGCACATCGGTTTCTTTAAGAAGGAAGTTGATACTGCACTTGTGTATATGTTTTTGTTTAACTTGTGGACAAAGACTGACATACAGGTGCAAAAAATAAATCCTCTTTTGCAACCCAGAACTCATTGATCAGTATGAGTTCTGATACATACAAGCAGGAATAGGATGCCAAAAAAAGAGGAAAGTTGAGGGGAGGTCTCTGTAAGGCATCGACGTTTGCGCAGAGATCGGAATGAAGAGCAGACTGTGAATATGTGAGGAGAAGCATGCTGCAGGCCGAGCGCCTTCTCAGGTCCTGACATGGGCGTATGCTTAGCAGGACTGAGGAATGTGAGGCCAGTGCGCTGGGCCTGTGGGCAGGGCAGAGAGGTAGAAGGTAGAATGGAGAGTTTCCCAGAGACGAGAGCACGTAGTGTCTTACAGACTGCAGTCAAGGTTTGGCTCCTCTTCTTTTTTTTTTTTTTTTTTTTGACAGGCAGAGTGGACAGTGAGAGAGAGAGACAGAGAGAAAGGTCTTCCTTTGCCGTTGGTTCACCCTCCAATGGCCGCCGCGGCCAGCGCGATGCGACCGGCGCACCGCGCTGATCCGATGGCAGGAGCCAGGAGCCAGGTGCTTTTCCTGGTCTCCCATGGGGTGCAGGGCCCAAGCACCTGGGCCATCCTCCACTGCACTCCCGGGCCACAGCAGAGAGCTGGCCTGGAAGAGGGGCAACCGGGACAGAATCCGGCGCCCCGACCGGGACTAGAACCCGGTGTGCCAGCGCCGCTAGGCGGAGGATTAGCCTAGTGAGCCGCGGCGCTGGCCAGGGTTTGGCTCCTCTTCTGAGTGTGACCAAGAGTTGTTCAGTGATGAAAGCAGGGGCGTGGTCTGACTTCCTTTGACGTTCTCTGGCTTCTGAGAGGAATAGTGCATAATAGAGACCAACAGTGGAATGGACCGAGGAAGACAAGCCCCAGGGCAGCAGTGGTAGAGGTGGTGAGAAGTTGTTGGCCTCAGACCGTATTTTAACAGAATAGCTTTTACTGACGTGCTGTGTACGAAGGTGAATGTTGGTGACATTTATTGATTTAAAGACGTCATCACAATTGGCAAGACTTTGGAAGGCTACACATCTAAAATATTGTGAGCAATTATGTAGGGTTTTTTTCTTAACGAGCTTAGAGGCCACCTGTTAGGACCTTGGCTCTAGTCACTCTGTAATGGACACCTGCCCCAACGCGCTTGCCCTCTCCGCAGTCCTCTGGAACAACCCTGGCCCTGGGTGTTTTTCCTGCTCTTACTCTTCACCTGAGCACAAGTGACCCAGTGTGCCTGTAGGGAAACCTCCCACGGGGACTGGCCTCGCTTCAGATGTGTGGTTAAGACCTCACTGGGGCTCAGCGCCGGGCTCAGGGCTGCTGCACTCCCCTCGGCTCTTTCCCTTCCCTGCCCTAAAGCAGCAGCTTCACGACTTCTTTTCCCTCAGGCCTTTAGCTTCTGATCTCTCTCCCTCTGGCCTCATGACTTTATTTATTTTACCGTGAAAATGGCTGTCAGAATGGATTTCTTCCTGTCCAAGCACCAAATCCTATATATACCCTGTACTCTGCCTTCCTTCGTGTTTAAAAAACTCCTCTTCCTAGTAGACACTTTATGTTTGCAGTTATACTCTGTGTAAAGTAGACTTTATATTTACAGTTAGGTACTTATTTTTATTTAAAAAAATTTGTTTTATTCATTTTGAGAGGTAGAGTTATAGAGAGAGGGAGAGATGGAGAGAGAGGTCTTCCATCCCCAAATGGCTTCAGAGGCCGGAGCTGGGCAGATCCAAAGACAGGAGCCAGGAGCTTCTTCAGGTTCTCCCATGCAGGTGCAGGGGCCCAAGCACTTGGGCCATCTTCTACTGCCTTCCCAGGCACATTAACAGAGAGCAGCCAGGACTTGAACTGGCACCCATATGGGATGCTGGTGCTGTAGGCAGAGGCTTTAGCCCACTATGCCACAGCAATGGCCCCTGTTTATTGTTATCAAAATTTCCAGTAATGGATTTATTCTACCAACATTTATATATGTGATTATATTTCCCATCTTAAAAGTTTTCTGGGGGCCAGTGCTGTGGTATGGTAGATAAAGCCACCGCCTGCAGTGCTGGCTTCCCATATGGGCACCATTTAGAGTCTTGGCTGCTGCGCTTCTGATCCTGCTCTCTGCTATGGCCTGGGAAAGCAGTAGAAGATGGCCCAAGTGCTTGGTCCCTGCACTCACGTGGGAGACCCGGAGGAAACTCCTGGCTCTTGGTTTCGAATCCGCACAGCTCCAACTGTTGCGGCCAGCCAGCGGATGGAAGACCTCTCTCTCTCTGCCTCTGCCTGTCTGTAAGTCTGCCTTTCAAATAAATAAATAAATCTTAAAAAAAATTTCTGTGGGTTCCATTTTACCCCACTAAATACTCCATTTTTGTGCCCCCTTTTTAGCAAAGCTCCTTGAAAGAATGTGCATTACCCTCATGGTCTCTGCTTCCTCTCCATGTATTCTTACAGTATTCTTGTCAGGCTTTTCTCCTCCCTGCTCTCATGGGATTACTCTGTGAAGATCCCATCCTGCCAGATCTTCACTTCTCAGTTCTGATATTAAATCTCTGCTTTTTCATCTTGTCCATCACTTTCTCCTTTCTTCACATGGCTTCTAGATCATCATCTGCTCATTTTCCTCTTGTCTCCCAGCTGTAACTTGGTCTCTACGGTTGGAATTTTTATCTCCCTCCATGTAAATGACTCAGAACTCAAATATTAGAAACTTTTCCATTGGTCACATGTGACCACACATATTTCAACCTAAGCTGAATAATGAGTGATTGGCAAAATGAGGGTGTCACTGTGGCCCTCTCTGTGTGGGACTCTCCCATGCCCGTTAGGGCGCCTAATGGATCCTTGACTCAGCCAGTGTGTTATGGACAGTCCGTATGTTAACTGTGAGTAGAACTTCACCTTTTAATTTGTGTCTTCTATAAAAATTAGCATAGATAAAAGCTCTAGTATTTACTCCCAATCTCAGGCTACCCCTTGGGGCAAGTGTACCTTCTTGAGAGACCACTGGGTGAGAAGGTGGAGCCCGAGAGCGGAACTGCTGTTTTGACCTGTAAGCTAATTGGCTCCACAAGGGAGACATGTCTCCTCTGAAATAAAGTATTGCTACTCTGACATTGCCAGCGTCTGCAAACACGTAGTACTAAGTAGAGAACTTGTCCCTCTGTAACTGCAGTAATCTAGTGGGAAGTCTCGGCCTCAGATTCTCCAAAGGAGACAGTGGCCCAGGTGTAACAAAGTACAGTGTAACGAGTGGGTGCACTGTAGCAGATAGGAAAATGCATGCTCTTTCCAGAAGGAACTACTAATATTTTTAAAGCTTATGAATACTTACTGCAGCTTGCCAGTACTTGCAGATGTGCTGACTAACTGGAGGGCTGTGGCTCACCAGCCGAGATAAAAGGGGACCTGAGGCTGTTGGGCTGAGCTGGAGGACTTGGCAGTCAGCCAGGCAGCCATGGAATGGGAGAGGAGTTCCAGGTAGAAACAAACACACTGTGGAGATGCAGCATGTTAGGGAATGATAGTAAGCTTAGAACTATTGAAACATGGTTAGTAAGGGCCTGTTGTATGACAAGTTACTTGAAGGCATTTTGTGACTTGCTAAGAAGTTTAGATGTTACATAGGCACTGGAGAGCTAATCAAGGATTTTAAGAGTAGTTGAAAAGGTGGGGCTGGTGGAAAAGCAACATCATGCTTTTAATTTAGAGTAACAGTTAGGTATTTCTTTTGAGATAAAGGGAGATTGACTGCAGTGAACCGTAAGCGTTATTTGTAGTTAATTTGATGAGAAATGACAGGGTCTGAACTAACGTTTGTCTGTGTAGAGGGAAAGGAGTGGTTTGATACGACTTGCTGAGTTACAGGATGGGTGGAGTGCAAGAATAGCGTAGACTTAATCATATGTGTATGAAGTTAATTGAAAACAGATCTTAGTAAAAAATAAGGGTGGGAATAAGAGAGGGAGGAGAAAGGTGGGTGGGAGGGCCGGCATGGTGGGAAGAATCACCATGTTCCTAAAGTTATAATTATGAAATGTGTGAAGTTTGTAAAACTATATAGTTCTGCATACATTCCTATGGACTTAACAATAAATAAATAAATACAAAAGAAAAAGAAAGCTTGCAGGTTACTAACCTGAGAATTGTGTGGTGAGCGATGCCTATAGTCCTAACCAACAAGGCAAAAACCTGACCGTGCCAAGCTCTCTGTGCTCATACTGCATCCTCACAGCAGCTCAGGGAGATAGGTGCTGTTGTTTTCCCCATCTTTTTGATGAACAGACTGAAGCTTACTGGGATAAAGTGACTTGCCCAGGATCACCAAGATCATACCAAGTGCACAGCCTGGCTTTAAGTCTGGCCTGGCTCCAGAGCCTGTGTGCAAGACCTGACACTCCAATACAGGATGTGAGAAGCCCAAGCAGCAGCTTAGCATGCTGTGATCCACAGTGCCTGTGCCTGTTAACATTTTTGGTCTTTCTCCCCCACCACCCCAGCTTACAGTTAGAAGCATGTACTAGGAAGTAGAGAAGAAACTCCAGAGGATTATCTAAGATGACTCATTGGGTATAGAAAGAAAAAGATGCTTTGGCTGCTTTTGTAATCTCATACATATACTAGAAATAAGATTGCTCTATATTTTGTTGGTCTAGTAGTTTGTGTAAGTCATTTGTAAATTTGTATAGCTGGTAGATGATGGATGCAGGGTGTGCACTTGGGTCTTGCTCTCTTGGGCCCCTGCACCCGCGTGGGAGACGCAGAAGAAGCTCCTGGCTCCTGGCTTCAGATTGCCACAGCTCTGACCGTTGCGGCCATTTAGGGAGTGAACCAGTGGATGAAAGAACTTTCTCTCTATCTCTACCTTTCTCTGTAACTCTGTCTTTTAAATAAATAAAATAAGTCTTTAAAAAAAAAAAAAGAGTAAAGCCAGTACTTGAGCCTGGGCGCTTTCAAATGGAATACAGGTATCCTGGTGGTGTCCTAACCTCTAGGCCAAACGTCCACTCCAGGTTTTCTGTGACTTTTTTTTTTTTCTCCAGATTTATTTATTTGAAAGGCAGTGTTACAGAGAGAATCTTGCAACTACTGGTCACTCC